TTCAAATATAATCTTCCCCCAGAAAATAAGCAAATATTTATTCGGTAAATAAATCATAACTTATGTAGTTTAAACTTAATCCTATAACTCTAGGAGAATTTAAAATGATATAGCTCTTCACACTCGGATTATTTTGCATTAATACTCTATCAAATTACAGAAATTGTTAGAATTTCTTGACAAAATTAAACATTTTTTGCTTCCTTTCACTCGATTTGTAGGCAAAAAATGCGCATTTTTTGAATCAGGTATGTGATATTATCAATTTTATAACGAGTAAGTTTGCGATTATAAAAAAATAAATATAGCCTATACATATATAATGTATTTTTTATGCGTGTAACCTAACTACTATAAATGTAAAAATGATATAAAAATGTTTCTAAAAATATAAAATGATGTCTGATAAAATGTCTTTTAAAAGGTGTGCAGTTTATCTCATTGACGGATTGTTTAACAAAGAAATAATCTGGAAATGGATCTCGCTTTTGTCTAAAGAGTGGAAGTCCGGAGCGTTTATTCATTATCTATTACTAATATATTTGCATTAACATATAATAAGTATTTATCTTCAAAATAGCATTCACGTAAGCTATAAGTAAATATAATTACTTACAATGTAAAACAATTGCTTAAGCCGAAAATCCATTCATTACAACAACTTCTTCAGAAAATCGTTTATAATTTTTGTTTAAAAGTAAGAAATTCAATCATTTTAACGCAAATGTTAAAATTATTATGTATTTAATAGCCATATTAATCTATTTAAAACTTTTTAAACGTAATTATTAATTACAATAGAGCTATTAATAAGATTAAATTTCATGTAAATGAGATGATTAATTAGTTAATAATTATAGTTTATACGACTTTTTCCCTTAAATAAAAACTGTGATTATCCGAATGGAACTGTTTTGTTAAAGTTAATAACTTTTTCTGGGTTTGATAAGTCATTTTAAGAGTAAAATTAAAAACTCTTATGTATGAAAATAATGAAGGATGCAGCGTTAAATGGGACGTTGCATTTTCGCCCAACGTTCTTTTAAGCTTATTAAAATAAGATTTTCGAACTGATAAGTCAAAGATTTTTAAAGAATGGAAGAGAATTGCATCCGAAACTTCACTTCGGAGGAGTAATAACGTTGTTAAAAGGTTAAGTGCCATTGTAATAACGTACGACCCTGATTTAAAGCTAGCCGACTACAGGCTTCAGTTATTAACTTATTACACATCTACCACTTCGCCGGAGAAGCTGCTTAATAAAAAGATAATCAATAGAAGCTCCGACAAGATTTTAAAAGCATCTGTGTCACCGGCCATTAGTTAAGCTCTCGACAAGGCACACATCAGGTAAATATAGTCATCGCAATTATAATATATTTATGTAGTCCATCTCTCTAGCTAGTTGGTGTGAGTCGTCCACGAGCTTGCCTAATGACTCATCTTCTCTCACCTGGTCAGACTTATTAAATTGTCGGGGCACGTCCCGCTATATATATGTCCAGTAATTAATATCCGTAAAAGTAAAGGGTGATAACATTTAACCAGTTGTTGTCGCTTCGTTTTCCACTAATATTCTCATATTGATGATACGACGTGGGTTTTAAATATCATCCGGACGTGCGCCGATCTTCAAACAGGTATAGATTGCCGCATGTTATTTGTATATTACGAATTGTCACCGTTCTGACAATGCTACTTTAATTAAGGAAGGAGCATCGGCAGAGAAGAAATGACAGCAAATTGTATTTAATGATATAAAAAAGTACTTGGGTTGCGTGCGTGATTCACAAAATAATAAGCCTGTTACGCTTTTGAAGCACGTAGACCTATATATGCTTCCCCCCTTTCTTTTTCTCTTTATCCCGTTAAAAATGGCATATTTTAATTGTTATATCTGTACTATTTTAATTCTCATTTTCTCTTAATCGATTACGTATTAAAGAAAATTAAATATTCTACGATGTTATTAACGTATAAAACATTTAAAATCGAACAGTTTTGCTTATTTTTTTTAGAGTTAAGACATTGTAAGAAAGCTTGTATTTTTCCATCTCTACGAAGTAAAGCCGATAAGAAAAGCTGATCTATAAAAAATAGGTGCCAAAATACAAAAAATAAAAAGTAAATAAACTTTAAACGAAGCATCACAAATATAACTTATAGAATAAGGCGAAAATACCAGGTTTTATAAGCTACACTGTGCTTCAGGTTACGTTGGATAATTAAAACGTTTAGTATCGTTGCGAGGTATAATTTTAAACATTATTTTCGTGTAGATAATAATATTTATTATTAATTTATATGAATATAAGTTTAAATAATCATTAAAATTTTAATAATTTGAGCAATTTGTTTGAATGTATTTACATGAAGAGGAAGAAAGTTTGTAGTCTATGCTGGATCTGTCGAACAAAACCGATGCTATTCATGCAACTCACCTTTTTGAAATCTAATCTGGACAAACATGGACAGTGGAAAAATAGAAATCGAATGCTACGGAAGTCTCCGAATTCTCTTTGCTTTTCGTGACTTGTAATGTTTACAACCGTTACGCGTTCCCCAGTCGAAGTTCTCTTTACAGTAATATTGAAATTTGTTTACAAGTATACGAACGTTTTAAAATGATCTTTTATCAGAGAATTTATATTTTCTGTAGGACGTAAAATGCCACTTCTATGAGATATTTAATACTGGTTTTTCTCTTATCCTAGCCTTAATTCAATTCCGGTGGAGAAGAGGATCTACCTGTAGATTTTCGGATGGGTTGCTATCTTTCGGATTTCCAAGTTGAGACTAATATAAGTGGGAAGATATATTGCCATTGGTAGAAGCGTATGTAAAGTGAGAACATAAAATTGAAGCGAGGGACAGACACAATAAAACGTGCCTCAGGTTTACAACAGTTTGATGATCTCCCTCCCTTCTTTGTCCCTCGAGAATAGCTCCTGCCTGGTTCGCTGTCCACGCGAATAGCAGAGTCATCAAATCGCGATAGGCTTCTGCTTCTGTCCAAGTAATATTGATCGTGAAGGGACTGACTGACTGACTGACCGACCTGAGATAGTTGATCTATTAGTGGAGCCTGGATGTCGGTGGTACCAGAACCGACGATCGAGATGTCACTGTGGTTCTTGTCTATGTCTGTCAACTGATGGCCACGTTGTGGTTCTTTGTCGGTGATGGATGGCAGGAAGCGGGGTTAGTTAGTTAGGGAAAGGTTACAGTTTCGAATAGCACAACACTTCTTTAAAAATAAGTCCACCTTAAACATTGGATAATAGGACGTGGCTTCTCGTAACTTCTTAATAACTACTTGTGTTAAGGGTTCCTCGAGTTTGAATTCTTTTCTGTCCCGATTTAATTTATCTAACATTAAAAATAATTATAGATGAAGATATTAACTTATCCATAATTTTTTTCTGAATTACGAAAGATAGATTATCTCCAATTTAGTACAGGGAATGATGAATGGCAGAAGTAGCAAGAATGTTTAATCTAGGTAATAGTTCTATGACTTCGGCATACGTCACAATTGGATAACAATATGACGTTAAAAGGTCATAGTGAAGCATTATAACATCATTAGTTGATGAGACGACGAGGATAATGTTTTAAAATTGCCATTAAGCACAAATAAAGGATTTGATATTCGTTATAATTGTTTTTTGCGCTATTAAAATTTTATTTACACAAAAATAAATGAATTTTTTCCTATAAATAATGTAAAAGATTCTTTAATAATCAGTTTTTTAAGGTGTATATTTAATATACTTTTCTAATTAATTTTTCATTGTTCGATAATATTTAAAAAGTCGTAAGCGTTAGTTATGAAATTTATAATATAATAAATTAGGGGGGAAAACGCCTAGTTTCTATCGAAAACTCATTAGGCCTAAATATGAATCGAATTGAAGCGAAAATTAAAAATATAATAATAAATTGAATAGAGCCATCAATAAGAACAAATCATCGAGTTGAAAATTGTCTAAATAAACAATTTTCAACAAGGTTAAGGTATTGATTGCTCGGCTGTTTTTGACTGAAAAGATATTAGTAGATAAGAGGCTAGAAACAAATCCCAGAGAGGAATTTTTCTCTATCTAGTGCAGACCACGTCCACCTTCTGATTACATTGTGATGTTCTCAACGATTCATTTCCAATTAAGGTTATTTCGCCAAACGTGTCTGAAGACTTACCTTTTTTCCCAACAGGTTTCAACCACCTCACCATACCAAACGCCCAATACAACTAGTGAATTCCTCTCACGTGACAATAGAAACCTCAAATCTCTACTAATAAGAAAAGTGAATGCGTGTAATGTTTTAGAAGAGAGAAAGAGAAAGATCATTTCTAATAAGAAATTTGTTTTTTCTTTCCGAAGAGAATTCAACTAATGATATATTTTTTCTCTCTTTTTCTGACCTTAATTGTTTTCGAAATTATATATACATTATTAAACAGGTTTTAAACTAATTTTCTTTCTTTTTGTTTTGCTATTAAGTGGAAATAAAACATTGCAAAGCACAAAAGGAGTTAAACTTTTTTATTTCACAGAGGAAAAAAAAAGTAATTCGCGCTACATAAGTCATCACGATCACATCATTTAAAACGCCTATGACTAAAAACACGTACGGACAGCACACGAACAATGTTGTATAATACACTTGGAATGGAGCGCGAATGTCTCTGCAATCACAACCAGAAGAGAAACAAAACCACCAAAAGGAGGTTTTTTCTTTAATTTTTTTTCGTATTTACACTGTTCCCTTCGTTGATGTTAACGCGAATCACGCGAAGATGGGTAGAAAATACACGCGACATAATTTTATATACTGTATTTATATGTATGTATATGTATGTATATGTATGTATATATATATATAATTGTTTTTATATATATATGGAGAGAAGAGTAAAGAGAAAAAAGAAGACGCATGTTTTACACCGACAAACAAAACATTTCGAAGGGAGTAGAACTCCGAAGTCAATTCCTGTTGTACACGACAAGACAAAAAATGGAGTCTCTTTCCGGTCAGGAAGTTGTCACAGTCATTGTTTTGGTGGCGAGTGAGCTGATGGGTTGCAAAGGTAGGATACCTTTAAGACCCAAGACGATCTCTCTTGAGCGAGCGCTTACCATTGCGACTTGCAGCGCGATTGCGAAGAGACGGAATCACCCTTTTCCTGTATCATCATTGGATTTCACGGTTCACGTGATCCATGTGACGTCACTTTGCCGATGATACAATGGAGCTACCGTACGATTGGCCGTTGCATGTTGATAAAGCAAATGGGTTCATTGCAGCGAACGGTGATGATACAATGCTTCCCATTCCTGAAAGAGTAAATAAGTCATCTTAGTACTTTTATTGGATAAAGTTGTAACTCTTTTTATAATTAAACAACTTATAAACTACATATTTACAGTTCTTAAACAGTAAACAATACTTAACTATCTGTAAATATCCTTCTTATTATTTTAACATTAAGAATTACATTAAATGAAACTGTAATGTACACGAAGGATTAAGCTTGTTTAAGTCAAGATATTCAAAATTCTCCTTCTTCATATTCAAAAATTCAATGTTTATGGTATAAATTATATTTAATTTATAATTACTGTATTGTTTTTAAATAACCGATTAACTTGAAATTTTAATTAAATATTTAGTATAGAGTCAAATTTTTTAATCTTCTTAATATTCTAC